GTTACATTATGTTATAAAAGTGTGGTAGCACATGCCTGTAATCCCAGCAGCTCAGGAGGCTGAGGCAGGAGGATAGCAAGTTCAGAGGCAGCCTTAGTAACTTAGGGAGGCTGTTAAGCAACTTAGCGAGGTACTGTCTCAAAATAAAAGGGCTGGGGGTGTGGCTCAGTGGTTAAGTACCCCTGGGTTCAATCTGTTGTGCCAAAATTAAGTTATGTGAATATGGTCTCTCTCTCAAAATATCTTTTTTAAAAAAATATTTATCTTTTAGGGGTAGATGGACATAACACAACGCCTTTATTTTTATGTGGTGCTGAGGATCGAACCCAGGTCTCGCCCGTGCTAGACGAGCGCTCTACCGCTGAGCCACAATCCCAGCCCAATCAAAATATCTTATTGTACTACTGTACTCACCCTTCTTCTCATGATGATATTGGAGGATGATCCAGTGCCTACATGATGAAATAAAATGAAGTGACTGACCTAGGCATTGTGGTGATGTGTTAGAGCACTCCAGAAGGCTTACTCGAACACAAATACTTTGGTACTGCTACATTTGATCTGTAGTAGCCAAGAGGCTACTAAGTGACATACCAGTGGGTAGCATATACAGCACAGATACATTGGACAGAGATGATTCATGTCCTGCTAGGTGGGATATAACCTGAGAGTTCATCACAATACTCAGAGGAACATGCATTTTTTTTTTTTTTTTTTGTACTGGAGATTGAACTCAGGGGCACTTGATCCCTGAGCCACATCCCCAGCCCTATTTTGTGTTTTGTTTAGAGACAGGTTCTCATTGAGTTGCTTAGTGCCTAGCCATTGCTGAGGCTGGCTTTGAACTCGCAATCCTCCTGTGTCAGCCTCCCAAGCCACTTGGGTTATAGGCATGCACCATCACACCCAGCAGAAGAATGTGCAATTTAATTTAAGATGTTGATGGACCTTTATTTTATTCATTTAGTCATATGTGGTGCTGAGAATCAAACCCAGTTCCTTATACATGTTTGGCAAATGCTGTACCACTGAGCCATAACCCCAGCCAAACTGCTGTATTTTTACACAGTTGTCTTCCCCCGTTAGACTAGGAACTCTAGTGAGCTGTTTCCTGCTGCATCCTCAGCACCCAAACAAGGCCTGGCTTGTAGGAGGCATTTGGTAAACATTGACTGGCTGGCAAGGTGAATCCTCACAACAATCCATTGAGTCACTTCCTCTGTGGTTCGTGTCCAGCAGCTCACATCTCCCCTGTGTGAACCACTAGTGCCTGCTTTACAGATCAGCTCGCTGATGAATGTTAGATGACCTGACCAGCATCTCCTGAAGGAAGAGGCAGAGCTGGTTTGAACCCAGGCCGTCAGCACTAGAGTCTGCTCTTAGCTACTGTGTGACCCGTGCTTTATGTGGGAGGCAGACAACAACTGGAGAGGTTGGGCCAGTGAGGGCCACATGGGTTCAAGGCTTGGCTCCCAGCTGCCCAGTGCTGCTCCTATGCTGTACACAGGATGCCCTCCCTAGTGCCGCTTGGGCAAATGTAGCTCCCCATATATTCCTGGCCCTGAAACCCAAGTGAGGATGAGAAGGTTCTGGAAGATACCCCTGATGGGAGAAGTGCTCCTGGGTGAAGAAGGAATGCCTGGGTTGGTGTTCCCAGGCCTCTGCTTACTGGCTGTGTAAGTGGGCAAACATCAGCCTCCCTGTGCCTCAGTTTCCCTATTTGTAGCATGACTTGGATCACAGTTTCTGCTGCCTTGGTCATTAGGAGGGTTAAAGGTGTTACTTCTCACAGCACCATGGTGGCTGCCTGTGTGGAGGGTGTCTGGGGGTGGTATCCAGTAGGAGAGGCCTCCTCTGGAATGTGGTCCACCTCACAGCTTCCAAGGGGAGGCATCAGTTTGCTTGGCTTCGAGGTCCCTTGGTATGATGTCCCTTGGTCCGTGGACCTGCCTGAGAGTATCTTTGCTTGATTCTCCTGGACCTCTTCTAGGAAGTAAGGCTGGAGCTTTCCTCAGCTTCTCTCAAGTCTGACACTCAGACCGCCAGCACAGGGAAAGGCAGTGGGCTCCAGGGAAGAATGGGTTGCCTGGCACTGAGTCCCAGCTCTGCTGTCTCCAGCTGTGTAACCTCCACAGGTGATCTACCTCTCTGTGCCTCCATCTCCATGTCAGAACCCTTCCTTCCCATGCTCTTGAGGTTGTGGCTGTGGAGCTGCACACTCACTGCTGTTATTTTCCTAGTTGTGATCTTAACCAGGGAGGGGGTTGGTTTCCTTAAGAGCTCTCCTTTTAGCCCCAACTTTGGGTAGAAGCTCCCCTCTGCCCCAGACACTGTGTTGAAACCTTTGAGGAGTGTCCTGGACAGAGGCTCTTACTTTTTCTCTGGAATTCTGAGTGCTGCAAGCTTGTAACCTCAGTCCAGTTGGAACTGGACCGGCAGCTGGTCAGTGTTGGGGAGGGCCTCAGTTACCCGCATCCACCTCCTTCATCCTTGGTGGATCAGTTTGGCCCCACGCCTTGCCTTCACACCTTCCCTGAGGCTGGTGCTTCCTGGACCAAGCCCTGGGCCTGCTGCTCTCCACACGGCAGTCCGCCCTGCTTCAACAGTTGCCGTGCTGAGGCGGGGATGAGGCTGGAAAGGATGGGACACCCTTACAGCTGATCTGCCAGGCTCAGAGTTGCTTCTGGGGTGCTGTGTTCACTCCATCCCTCTCTTTGTCAGAAAGCTGATATCACACTGTGGGTCTTAACCTGTAGCCAGCTTTTTTCACAATCTCAAAATTTCTCTCCATGAGGTTGTATGTATGATTACACTGTTCGTATCCTTTAGGAGATCTGTGATTTTCTTTCTGCAGTCTGGGGTTGAACCTAGGGTTCTGTACCAATGAGCCACCTTCCCAGCCTTTTTTATTTTTATTTTGAGACAGGGTCTCACTGAGTTGCCAAGGCTGGTTTGAACTTGTGATCCTCCTGTCTCAGTCTCTTGAGTCACTGGAATTACAGGTGTGCCCCACTGTGCCTGCCTGTGTGACTTTGTTTTTTATCTACCATTTTAAAATTTCTATGATAGCTGTGATTGACAAGGCATATCATAGGATGTGTCCCTACTCTTTCCCTTTTTTTTTTTTTTTTTTTTTTTTTTGGAAAACAGGGAAATTAATATAGGCATTGGGCTTTAGGCTGTGACTTGTTCCAAAGGGAGCATGGGTTAAAACCAGTTGAGAAATGCTGGCTAGAAGTGCTGGGTCAGGGAGGGAAGAGGCCAACCCCACTCTGCCTGGCTGTGCAGTGGCCTTGCTGTGCATAGGCCCTGGGGCCACTCAGACTTTGGCTGCCTTGCTTGTTCATTACTTAGATACCTACTGAACACCTGTATAGGTACAGGAGGCATACCACACTCAAAGCTCCTCATGGGGTTGACATATATGGGTTATGGGGACCCCAGACTTTTCTTGGGTGGGAAGGGGCCATGTGCCAACACTTGATGTTTGTGTATCTGTTTCAAAACATGATATGGTGGATACTCATCTTCATCTTACAAAGCATGGTCTCAGGGGAGTGAAGCCAGTTTGAAGAGGAAGAGCCTCCTGTGCACTAACGGGCATCTCTGAGCTCAGTTCCAGCTTGCTTCAGCAAGCCACAGATCTGGGCAAGAACTGTCTTGCCCATTGGCCCTGGGGAGGGCCTCAAGTCCAGTGGGAGTCCAGCGGCCAGGCTTGGAGAGCTGCCATGTTTTTCTTACTTTTGATTTTTTAATCTGTGCCTCAGTTTCCTCCTTTGAAAGACAGGAGGAGAGGGTGGTGAGTGCTCTCTGAGTGTTCATAACAGTGAGTGCTCTCTGAGTGTTCATAACACCAAAAAATAGCAGTGCCCAATTTAGTGGAGAGAGGCTGCCACTGTAAGACACTTCTGTGTTCCAGCAGTGTCAAAATGTGGGAAATGCATTGCTGGGCTGATAGGTATGGAAGTGGCCCTGCTTGATGCCGTGGGACAGAGGCTGGTGGAGGGCAGCTAGAGGATGCGTGTGCATGAAGAACTCGGCCGCTCTTGGTTCTTGGTGGCTTTCTGCCAGCACTGGCTGCACACACCGTGGCTTCTTTCAGTTTTCGGAATTTGGGAGGCTGCCTGCTTACTCTCTGAATTGTCTCATTCTTAGTGAACATTTTCTATTTCCCGCTGGTCACGTGGCTGATTTCTAGACATAAGCGTAATACATGGGGGTTCAAAATATGTTAGGTTGAACCACTAGAAATTGCTGTGTGGTGAGTCAGAAATGGGGGGATGTGAACAATTGAGTGTCATTCAGCCTAATATTTTTTTCTTTTTGGTCTGTGGTCATTTCCACTAATTATCAAAAGAAAATTTGCTCCCAACAACTAAATCATGAGTGACAAAGCCAATTTATTGTATTCAAACCAGATCCTTTCTGCTGAGACCACTTCTCCTCCATCTCTTTCTGTCCCTGCCTTGCAGCCCCCACACTCCACCTCAGCAGCCAGTCCCTCCAGGGAGTTCTGCTGGCCAGCTCTCCCTGTGAACTCTTTAGCTGCTTTGGTGCTTGAGTGCTTAATTTACTCTTGGTTTTGCTTCACAAAACAGTTGTGACCTGTAAACCTACGCTGCTCGTGTGTTCTGAGCAGCTCAGGAGCACGGGTTCCCTCATTCAGGGTTCAAGTTGGTAGCTTCTTTTCAAGGGGCTGTGAACAAATGTAGTCAGCCCACTTTGATCATTTCAGTGCTGCCTATCTGCACAGGACCCTCAGGCCAGGCCACTCCTGGGCCATGGGTGACCTCTCTTTTATTCCACTCTTGAATCTCCCACCTGCCACAATCAGAGGTCTGTGAAGTTTCAGTCGGATCCTGTCAGCTCAGCCTGTCTTAGATAGATCTCTCCAAAGCCCCCAAAGAGGTTTGCCCATCTGCTCACCCACTGGAGGCTGGGCTGGGAGGTAGCCGTCTGCTTTCCCAGTCACGGTCCAAGACTTGTGTGTCCCCACACAGGGAGGAGTGGATGCGGGCCATCCAAATGGTCGCCAACAGCCTCAAGCAGCGGGGCCCTGGCGAGGACCCCATGGACTACAAGTGTGGTTCCCCCAGTGACTCTTCCACAGCCGAGGAGATGGAAGTGGCTGTCAGCAAAGCACGGGCCAAAGTGGTACGCGCTGGGGGCAGGCGGCCTGGGGCGGGCTGACCAACCCCCAGCTTCCCTTGGTTTTCATGCAGATGTTCAGGGGTCTCTGGAGAGACTTCACAGATGCTGTGCAAAATGGGGTGGTTCCAAGTTATGGATGGTATAGGGCTGCTCTGGCCCTGGGGTGAGGGGCAGCCATGGACAGAGCTGCCACGGACTCGTCCTGGGGGGTTGTAAAGACCAGGCGGCCCCATTCAGAGCTCCATGCCTGCCCCGCATAGCTTGTGCCTGGGAGTGCCTGGCCGTAGCCCCTTCAGAACAGAGCTGCTGCCCAGAGCGCCCTCCCTGCTCCTACAGTGGTGTCTTTCCCCTTTGCTTATTAAAGGATTTCCTTCCATGGCCGATTGCCAGGTCCTTGACTGCCCCTGCTTTTTCCCTCCCGTCAGACCATGAATGACTTCGACTATCTCAAACTCCTCGGCAAGGGCACTTTTGGCAAAGTCATCCTTGTGCGGGAGAAGGCTACTGGCCGCTACTACGCCATGAAGATCCTGCGGAAGGAGGTCATCATTGCCAAGGTGGATCCTCGCGGCCGTGCACTGGCTTCCTTGGGGGTGTCAGGAGACAAAATAACAGCTCACGTAGTTTGAGGTCTTACTGGCTTTTATTTGTGATCTGCTAACTGAGGCCACCTCCGTTCTGTGAAATAGAGGGAGAAGTCCCACTGGGCAATGGCAGAGCAGTGAGTGTTGTCAGGGAACAAGGAAACACCATTAAAAAAAAGTGGACCCGGTAACATCAAATTACCTCATACTTCCTTTTGTAGGGGTTAAAAGCAGAGAGGACTTTCTTTCCATGTTGATTCAGGTAGACTGGAATCTCCCGTTTTTAGGAATAATGGTCTGTTTTGGAATGTAGCTGCTTTCTTAACATTCCATTTGATCATGTGACATTTGGTATGAGTGACTCTACTAGAGCCTAGTGCAGGAGCTCAGTCCAGAGCAGCAGCTTCCCTTGTGAGAGTGTGTGTGTGTGTGTGTGTGTGTGAGAGAGAGAGACTGACTGAGGGTCAAGCCCAGCCTTTGTAAGATCCTAGCCCCTCCTATTATAGAATCTCAATCAACTCTTCTTGTAGTTTTGAGAGCTGCTGACTGTCCATATCTGGGTCCATTTTTTTTTTTTTTTTGATGGCAAAGAATGGAATTGGTCTTACTCAGGTGCTGCTCCCCCAGGCCTCAGGCTGGGGTGTGCGTGGTCACAACTGCTCACCCACACTCTCTGTCTGCAGGATGAAGTCGCTCACACCGTCACGGAGAGCCGGGTCCTCCAGAACACCAGGCACCCCTTCCTCACTGTGAGTCACCCCCCTTCTCAGATGGCAGTGGGTAGTGGGGCTCTAGGCCAGTCCATTTGGGCAGAGTTCAGGGAGAGTCCCAAACCTCCCACTACAGAGCACAGCCTCAGTGTGCTCCCCAGATTGTCTGAATCAAGGTCCTGCTGCAGGGTGGCACTTTGCTCAGAGGTGGTGGTTCATGATGTGGGACAGCCCTGGGAGAGCACAGAGCTGTCTTTGTGGATGGGCAGAACCAACCTGCCTGGTCCAAATGGAAAGACTTTTGATTTTGATTTTGGTTTTGAGGTATCATGGAAGCAGATGTGTGGTCACTATGTTGCCTGTTGCCTTGGCCCAGTGGACCCCTCTTTGCGGGAGGGAGGTGTCTTAGGGCTGCAGTCTCCATCAAGGCCATTGGGCATCAGTTAGGAGAACTAGATGGAGGGTGGTTTCTGTGCCGATTCTTGCTTAGTTGTGCAGATAGCCTGTGAAGCCATAGTGTTGTTCATGTCATCTTAGGAGGTGCCTCAGTGTGGAAGACAGAACTGCAGAATTGTTTCGAGCAGAGAGGTGTCCAAGGTGACCTGAGGAACCTCCTGGAGGGCTCCTTACATACAGCTTGGGACCTGTTGGTTGGCTGACAGTTTGTTCACCCTGTCTTTAGACTTGGCTTTAAAGTCACTGCTGTGCCTAGCCCCAGTGTGCATCGTGTGTGTGTGTGTGTGTGTGTGTGTGTGTGTGTGTGAGAGAGAGAGAGAGAGAGAGAGAGAGAGAGCGCGAGAGCGAGAGCGAGCGAGCTATTAACACACTTACTGTTAAAACAAGAAGGAAGACAAGTCCTGTTTGCCTAGAACACACTTTCTCCCCCAGCAGTGCCTAGGATTTGAACTCACCTGCCTGACAGCAGCCCAGGCCAGGGCGGGTGTGTACAGGTAGAATAAACTGCTTTCTCCTCCTGGGCTAGGCAGAGCCCTCTTCCCCCCTCTGACCCCAGTGGCCCTTGTGCCCTCCTCCCTCAGGCGCTGAAGTACGCCTTCCAGACCCACGACCGCCTGTGCTTCGTCATGGAGTATGCCAACGGGGGTGAGGTGAGCCCCAGCCACCGGCCTTGCATGTGGGGGTCTCCTTCCAGAGTATGGGGGCAGGCAGAGAGGATCTGGGTGAGATGGAAGGGACAGATGGAGGCTTCCTATCACTGGGTTCCGCCCTCACCCCGCACCCCTGCTCCTTTGAGCCAGGTGGCATCATCTCCATTTTGCAGGTGGGGAACTGAGACTCAAGAGAGGTTAAATGGCTTGCCCAAGTTCACACAGCTATTGAGAGAGTTTTCAGGGCAGATCCAAACCCAGGTGCAGAGGGGTGGGGAGAGGTTGTGGGGCGGTCAGCCGACAGTGAGAGGAAGGATGTTGTTAGGGAGGTAAAGATGCACCAGCCCTCTGACCCCATGTCCTCCCTGTGCAGACTGATCCAGCCACTCTGTCACTGAGTGGCTCATGCTTGCTCTTGTCCCCTGCTGCTCCTCTTACCCTCTGGACACACATGTGACTGACCGGGATATGGTCATATCTATCTGACTTGGTCTTGCTCAGCATGTTCTGTCACTTGCTTGTGACATGCCTGTCTCCCTGCTGTCACTGATTCCTTCACCTGTTCCTTATCTTTCTGTGGGCACCTGCTGACTGCCCCTTATTTTTCATCCCTTGCTTGGTTTTTCTCTTTGTGTGAGATATTATTTCATCACCCCTCACTTGGTGCCTCTTGATGTCCTTCCTGTTCAGGGAGCAGGTGTCACTCTGTCATGGGGCTGGGTGCTGAGCCATCCTCCCTTCCTGAGGCTGGGGTCTAACCTTTCCCTGTCCCCTGCAGCTGTTCTTCCACTTATCCCGGGAGCGTGTCTTCACAGAGGAGCGGGCCCGGTTTTATGGTGCAGAGATCGTCTCAGCTCTCGAGTACTTGCACTCACGGGACGTGGTGTACCGTGACATCAAGGTGAGCAGGTGGCTGGGATCGAGGGTGTGCCCTCGGCAGGCCAGGCTGGCCCTTGGCATGTGCATGGCACTCACACGGGGAGGTGGGCCCAGGTGGTTCCACTGTGAAGGCCTTTCCCAGTCGCTGTGTGGCTCCAGGTGAAGGTGTCAGTTGGTACAAACTCTAGAAAGTAGCAGCCTCCACCAAAGCTGAACACTCGCCACCTGCTCTGCTGTGTGCACAGCGGAAACAGGGACACGTGCTCACCCCAGAAAGTGTGCGTGTACTCAGAGCAGCACTGTCACTAGCTCAGAACGCCTGCTGCTGTGGAACAGGCACGGTGCACTGTGGTGTCTCCACGGCAGGATTGCAGCAGAGAGAGCAGCCCAGCTGCCCAGGGGTGCTGATGCAGCTCATAGGCTGGAGTCGGGGAAAAGGCCAGAGTAGGTGGGACACGTCCAGCACTGCTCACTGGTGTACACGTAGATGTCAAAACCAGTGAGGAAAGGGCTGAGGTATTTCAGTGGCAGGCATTCACAAGGCCCCGARTTCCATATCCAGCTCCACAAAAGAAAACAAAACTATAGAGAAAAGCAAGGAATTAAAAAAGTGATTTCTCACTGGGCACGGTAGCACATGCCTAATCCCAGCAACTTTAGAGGCTAAGTAAGGCAGGATGGAGGATCATGAGTTCAGGGCCAGCCCCAGCAATTTAATGAGGTCCTAAGTAACTTAGCAAAACCCTGTCTCAAAATAAAATATAAAAAGGACTGGGGATGTGCTTCAGTGGTTAGGTGCCCCTGGGCTCAATCTCTGGTACCTAAAAAAAAAAGTTGCTTTTCACTGTGGGGGTGGGGGTGGGGGTGGGAGATAGTTAATACCTGGGAAGGGGCACATTAGGGTTCCAGAGGGCTGCTGATGTTATTTCTTGACCTCACGGTTTGCACAGAGGCTCTACTACCTCTTTCATTTGTGTTTTCTGTTTCTTTTGTGGTGTGTGTGTCATAATTAAAAGAAAAAAAGTTTAATAAAAAATAGAAGAAGGATAGTGCCCTCAGTTCCAATTGGATCTTAAGTAACTGCAGCCCACAGTGGAGGCAGCAGCTGGAGCAGGGCCTGGCTCCTTCAGCTTGCCTGGTGTGGCTAGAGGAAGGGAGGCATTGGGCCTGGCCTCCCTCTGCGCCTCAGCCTGTGTGGCCATGCACTGGGCTCATCCTGGCCCCAGGAGTCGGTACTGAGGAGCTGCTGGCTGGACAGTTACCACCCCAGCCCGTTGCCCCTTGGAGGGGAAGGCTGGTGACAGAATCCAGGAGGATGTTCCCCTCATCTATTGACTTTTCCTGCAGCTGGAAAACCTCATGCTGGACAAAGATGGCCACATCAAGATCACCGACTTTGGCCTCTGCAAAGAGGGCATCAGTGACGGTGCCACCATGAAAACCTTCTGTGGGACCCCGGAGTACCTGGCACCTGAGGTGTCTGGAGCTGGGGGCCCAGGAACATGTAGGCCAAGGGTGGAGGGCCCCCGGGCCTGTGTGCCTGCCTGGCTTAGACGCTGAGGGCAAAACTGACTCCTCTCTCCCCTGCCTGGCCCTGGACTGTGGCTTGGCTGCTTATTGCCCCTCACTCCCCAGGTGCTGGAGGACAATGACTACGGCCGGGCCGTGGACTGGTGGGGGCTGGGCGTGGTCATGTACGAGATGATGTGCGGCCGCCTGCCCTTCTACAACCAGGACCATGAGCGCCTCTTTGAGCTCATCCTCATGGAGGAGATCCGCTTCCCACGCACGCTTGGTCCTGAGGCCAAGTCCCTGCTGGCTGGGCTGCTGAAAAAGGACCCTAAGCAGAGGTGAGGGCTGGCATCTGCCTGCCCATCCCAGTGCTGCCTGCTGCCGCTGCCCCTTGGCCTAGAGAGAGCAGTGTCTACAGGTGCACTTGCTATGGGCCTGCAGTATGTCATCCCCCATGCAGCCTTTGGTAGACACAGCTAGCACCTGAAGGGCTTCCCCTTGGCCGGGCCCATGCTTAGCCCTCCCTGCCCTTCCATGGGGTTTGGGGATTTTGAGGACTGGGCAGTCTTGTGGCCAAGCCCTCCCGCCCACTCTTGCTGGACTCAGTGAGGCAGGCTGTGAGACCAGGTGGTCATGAGCGCCCCTTCCTGAGCCTTGGCTTCCCCCTCTGTGAAGTGGTGGTTTGTGGCTGGGACAGAATCGCAAAAGGCTGTGCAGATACTTCCCGCTGCAGGCTCTGGCCAGCTTGCATTGAAGCCCATCTCCCAGACCCAGCTGCTCTGGGAGATGGGTGCTGATGGCCGTCTCTGCCCAGGCTCGGTGGGGGGCCCAGCGATGCCAAGGAGGTCATGGAGCACAGGTTCTTCCTCAGCATCAACTGGCAGGATGTGGTGCAAAAGAAGGTGAGTGCCCACCTGTGCGCCTCCAGCAACTCCTGGGGGCCTGTTCCATTTGTGGGTGGCCTAGGTCAAGGCCTATCCTCAGGGTCCCTGAGTCTGGGCTGTTCTCTTCCATAGCTCCTGCCACCCTTCAAGCCTCAGGTCACATCTGAGGTTGACACAAGGTACTTTGATGACGAGTTCACCGCCCAGTCCATCACAATCACACCCCCGGACCGCTGTGAGTGTCTGGGGGCCCCGTTGGCCATCACAGTGCCTGCCTGGGTGGAGGAGAGGTGGGGTCTGCCTCTGGGCAGTTTTCCCTAACATCTGCTTGCAGGCCTTTTGCTGCTGGGTTCTTTTTGGTCTGGTGAGGGTCACCAGGAGCCATTGGTTACAGCGCAGTCCAGAGCTGCAGGGGAAAGCACTGGTCAGGAGGTGGCTGGGGTCTTTGGGCTGGATTAGTTCATGGACTGTTTTTTTTGTTTTTGTTTTTTTTTTTTTAGTTCATTGACTCTTAAGCTATTTGTGTTTTTACTCCAAAGCCTCACAGCAGTGACCCAGCCATCCCTGGGCCCTGCTGTTGGAGAGCTCCCAGTCTAGGTTTTGTGACAGCCCAGAGCAGGCAGCCTGGTGTAGAAGCCCAGGGACTGGGGTCTCATGGAGGAAGTGCCTCATCTGGCCTGTGCTTTCTGGCAAGAGTGGCATGTTGGTTCCAGTAGTGCAGAGAGTTTTGCAGTCAAAAGGACAGGCTGCAGGCAGGGTAGCTGTGGGCTCAGGGAAGAGGCAGGAGGCATGGGGGTCAGAGTGGGAGCATCCCAGGAACACAGGGTGAGAACCTTCATGTGGGAGCCATGGGAGGGTTCTGTGCAATCCCCTGGCTGCACGTGGAGGGTAGATTGAAGCAAGCCAGGGCAGGGGACTGGGCCTGAGGCGTCTGGATTGGACCTTGGTGATGGCATGCGGAGAGAATGGGAGGAGGACACTTGAGAGGACACAGGGTCAGGGTGATGGGCCTGTGGAGTTTCCCCACACAAGACTACCCAGGGCCTGGGGGAGGGACATGGCTGTGGGGGCTCTGTCAGGAAGGTGCCTCTGAGCCATCCCTTCCAATCTTGCTGGAACTCCCTGCTGGGCTCATTCTGTGACCCCATTGCAATCCTTCCTCTGGGTGTATCCTGAGGGAGTCGGTGGGTGCCTCTGGCCCTCTGCAGGCCAGTACCCCAAATACGCTTCCTCCTGACCCACAGATGACAGCCTGGGTTCTCTGGAGCTGGACCAGCGGACGCACTTCCCTCAGTTCTCCTACTCAGCCAGCATCCGGGAGTGAGCAGCCCATTGCCACCACAGGACACCTGCATGGCCGCCATCCACCAACTGGGTGGCTTTTAAAAAGACTTTTTATTTTGCCTTTTTGGTTTGTGCCCCCATCCCTCACTCTCTCACCTCCATTTCCAGTTCCTTCTTCAGTCCTCCCCCAAATTCACCTCAGTGGTCCCCGCAGCCTTGGCCTCTAACCTCCCCTTTGTGTGGAGGGACTGTCCACCTCCCACCCCAGCATGGGCTGCTGGGAGGATGGATTCAGGTTTTTAATCAAAAACAGGCCCCAGTGAGGGTGAAGCATGGATCCCCGGGTCCTGCCTGAATTTCTGGCTGGGCATCACGCAGGCAGCCTGGCTACACTGCTGCTTCTGGATGAAGCTGCCTCTGGTGGGACGGCCGCCTAGCGGACAGCACCCGTGCCACCTTCCACAGCCTGTCGCCTAGGCCCCAGGGGTCTGGCGAGAGGAGGTCCACCTGCCAGCCCCGTACTGGGGTCAGAAAAGCAATAATGTCCAGGGACCGGTGGGATTGGGGGTTAGGGCTCCTTGTGAATGGAGCCAGATCCCTGCGTCATGGGGAACCAGGAGAGGGTCACTGCCTTCTGGCCCTTCCTTTCCCTTTCCCTCCCCAAGTTGTTCTGCTAACTCTGTGGGTGAGGCAGAAGGAACAATGGGGGGCCAGCCTGCCTGCCTGCCCCCCAACCCTGTGCCTTACCAGGGCTTCCTTCCAGCTGGCCTTACCTCCCACTGGACCCTGGGTCTGGCCTTGGCTCCTTTTGAGGACAGGGGCCAGGACTGTCCACTTCTTTCTGCCTGAGGCAGAAGGGCACTAGCCTCGGCTGTTACACATCTCACCGAGACAGTATTGGGCCCCGTGGACTTGGGGAGAGAAGGGGCAGGGGAGGGCATCTTCGGTACATACTGGGGTTAAGGGCCTCTGAGAAGGGAGGCTCCCAGGCCACCTCACCCCTTCCCATCTCCAGGGCCCCAAATTCTGCAGCCTTAAGGTGAACGTGATGGAGAGAACGTGTCAGTGCTGTAAGCACACGTGTGTGTGCTGTGGACTGTGTCCGTGGGCGTCCCTGAGCTGCTGGGATGCAGGTGTGCATGGCTGTGTTTGTGTGTGTGTGTGAGAGAGGGCAGTGTGTCTGGGCCCTCCAGTGTGCGTGGTGTGTGTGCGCTTGGGCCCCACCCGCCCAGCGCTCCATCGTGTGTGGGGAGCGGGTACCTGGGGTCCACTTGCTTCCCCACCCATGTCCTCGCTCCCCCTGCCCCCGGCGTCTCTGGGTGTGTGCAGTTTGGTTTTTGTGGTTTGACCTCTCCATCCTCCTCCCTACTGGGCAGTCCATAGAAAGGCATTGTGGGGAGGGTGGGGAGGGTACGGGGGCTCTTTCCCTTCTCGTGTGTGTATGATGTTTATCTGACAGCTCTCCCCATCCCCACTGGCCCTTCTTAACCCCTTGTGTTTGTACGGTACAAGCAATAAAGACACTCATTTCAGACCAGGGCCCCGCCTGCACTTTGCCAGCTGCCACCCCCAGCCTTGCTTGGTTATGGAGTCCAGCCCCTGGGTACCATCCACCTCCTGCTCCACTGCTGTTTGAGGTCCCTGTCGAGCAGGTGGCAGTGGGAATGAACATGGGAGCCCAAGCCAGAGGGGAGGATGCTGGGTGAAGCTGCAGAGCAGCCTGGGGTGGAGCAGACAGACTGCTCCAGCCAGAGGAGGCAGGACTCAAGGGCAGGGCACGAGAGGGGAGGGATTCTAAACAAGCTGTGTGTGGTGTCACTGCCCTGGAACTGAGTGGGAGGGGCTGGCTCATTTCATGTGGTCATTGAGCCCTGGAGAGGTACACGCTGCCACAGTTTCTTTGCTCATTTATATTAAATCACGCATCTTGAGGCCCCCAAATTCCAGAGCAGAATCTGTGTTGATGGCATTTGCGGTTGCCATCAGCTGGGAGTAGCAGAGCACCTGGTTACAGCCTCTTGCAGCTCCTAGAGTCACTTTTCCAACTCCCGTAGCCTTTTATCCTGGCTGGGGGCTGGACCTGCCCTCCGTCCCCAGCTTGTCACTGGCCTTTACAGGCTGGGCTTGACTGTTCCCTCTCCCAAGCCTGGCACAGGTGAATTCATTTCAGATTTTGCAGGGAGGAGGGCGTCACACAGGGAAGCTTTGCGATTTTTAAGTGAGCCTCATGGGAAGGTCTGGTCCTGATTACAAATCTTCACCAGTGGGGCACTCCTGTAATCCCAGTGATTGAGGAGGCTGAAGCAGGAGGATCCCCAAGTTCAAAGCCAGCCTGGGCAACTTAGCAAGACTCTGTCTCAAAATTTAAATAAGAGCTGGGGATGTGGCTCAGAGGTAGAGCTGGCTTTCCTTGGCAGACTGTACCACTGAGCCACATCCCAACCCCATCGTGTTGGGTTTTCTGACTTTATATGGACCTTATTGTCTTTTTAATTACAAAAGTATGTCACAGTGGCATTAAGATAATCGGGAACTTATAAAGAAAAGCCTTTCCTTTTCACTCTAGTCGCACGCCTTGTAAGGTGAGTGCAGTTCTTCAGGCACGGTGGCTGGCCCTGCAGTGGGTGCATCCCGTCTGCCTCTGGGTCTGGTGGTACATCCTTGATCAACCAGAGGAACCACTGTCGGTCAACTGTGTCCCTTGGCTGAAACACCCTTAGATAACTGGAGTGACCCTGAGATAACTGGTGCTTCTTAGTTTGAGGATGAAGAGTTTCAAATTTTGCAAATTAAATTTTAAGTAGATTAATCCATCTTTTGCACTGTCCATTTTAAACAAGTTTTTTCGTGTCTGTATAAATAAAACAAAAGTATAAGGAAGAAAGTGACTATCACCCCATGTCCTGGAGTCTTGAGTGCATACACTTCTCTGCAAGTGGACAGAAGGACATAAAAAGGCACAGCCCTTTCCTTTCAGCTGCCACCACACCCCTGGGGCATGTCCTGCCACATCTTGCCCCCACTCCTACCAAGGTGTGTATTCATATTGCATATCAGGTGATGGGTAAGAATGAGGTTCCTTTTTTTTTTTAAGAGAGAGAGAGAGAGAATTTTTAATATTTATTTTTTAGTTATCGGCGGGCACAACATCTTTGTATGTGGTGCTGAGGATCGAACCCGGGCCGCACGCATTCCAGGCGAGCACGCTTGAGCCACATCCCCAGCCCAGAGTGAGGTTCCTTTAACCCACACATCCACCTTTGGAGGGACTTCTGGTGCACATCCCTGCCGACACTTTGCAGATGTATCCCAAGTGGGCCTGTCTCCCCTGTTGATAGGAATTTACTTGGCTTTCAGGTTTTTTTGGTTGGTTGTGTTTTTTTTGTTGTTGTTGTTTGTTTTGTTTTTTTCTGCTACCAGCATGCTGCAATGAAGCTTACTGTACATCTTAACTGCATTTGTGTTTTAATATCTGTGGTCTGCATTCCTGGATTTTAATATGAGTCACATAGATTTCAAAAGGGGATCATGGCCAGATGCAGTGGTGCACACCTGTAATTCTGGCAGGAGGATTCCAAGTCAGAAACCAGCCCGGGGAACTTAGACTGTCAAAAAATTAGTTTTTTGGTTTTTTGTTTTGTTTTGATTGGTTTGTGGTACTGGGGATGGAATCAAGGGCCTTGTGCATGTAAGGCAAGCTATATCCCCAGCCCTAGACTCCAAGGGCACAGGACAGAGGATGAGAAGACTGGACAAACTCTGCCAGCCAGGCGGTCAAGGTTGCCCTCAGCCATCGTGTTCTGGTGCTAGAGTGTCACTAGAGTGACGCTTGGCCACCTCTGGGCTTCCCCAAACACAAACTCCAGTCGAACCAACATAAAGCTGATCAAGCAAAGCCCAGTTGGGAGACATAACAAAATAGCTGACCTGCCCTCAAAACTGTCACCCAGGGCTGGAGCTGTCACTCAGTGATAGAGCCCTTGCCTTGCATGTGTGTGAGGCACTGGGTTTGATCCTCAGCACAACATAAAAATAAAGAGATTGTATTGTTGTGTCCACCTACAACTAAAAAAAAAATGTTAACACTGTCAAGATATTTAGAAGAAATTCTTAAGAATGTGCCAGAGCCAGTAGGCGCCTAAGTGTTGACTGGGCTAGTTCCCAGGATGGGATCTTGGGACAGGAAAAAAACAAAAAGTTGAGGGAAAAGCTCAGGAAGACCGGATAAAGCATAGATTCAGTGAATGACATCAGTATCAGTTTGTTAACTGTGACAAATGTGCCACACCAGGATGTTAATGGGGAAATGGTGTGGGGATGTTGGGGACTGTATTTGCAGCTTTCTGTAAATCTCAAAAATTTTATGTAGGTGCATAAARTAGCCAGACATAGTGGCACATGCCTGTGATCCCATCATCTCTGACACGGGAGGGTTGAAAATTTGAGGTCAGTCTGGGCAAATTAGTGAGACTCTGTCTCAGAAAGTGGGGTGGGGGCTGGGGATGTGGCTCAGCGGTAGCGCGCTCGCCTGGCATGCGTGCGGCCCGGGTTCGATCCTCAGCACCACATACCAACAAAGATGTTGTGTCCGCCGAGAACTAAAATATATATATATATATATATATATTAAAAATTTAAAAAAAAGAAAGTGGGGTGGGCTGGGGGTGTAGCTCAGTGGTAGGTTGCCCCCCTGTTCAATCCCCAGCACTGAAAAGGAAAAAAAAAAAAAAAGGCCGAAAAACATAAAATACATCCTTCACCCATGTTTCTCGTAGTACTTTCTTAATTGACAAAAACTGCATTGCGTAGCACTTTATCACATTTATTTGGCCTTCTCTCTTCCTGCTGTTCATATTTAGGTATCTGTAATGAAACAAGGGTATTTTCTCACACAGCCAGGGTCCAGTTATCAAGGTCAAAAAGTTAATGTTGCCACAATGTTGTCAACAGACCTTAATCAAATTTTACCAATAGTCACGTGTAATGTCCTCATAGTTGTAAAAAGCCCTGGCTAATGCATCCACCAGGTTCCCACACTGCATCGTCAGGTTGGAAGCTCACAGGGTAAGTATACTGCAGACTGTTCTCAATCAGAGCTTATTGCCTGACGTTTCCCCAGGGTTAAATTCCAACTATTTGGGACAGAATTTCCAGAAGTGACATGCCTTCCTGAGAGCACACTATGAGGAGGCACAGGATGACAGTTTGTCCCTTAACTGGGGATGACTGATCTCTTGATTAGGGTAGTATCGAGTTTCTTCACCATCTGGGGGTCATAAAGAGGCCACGGTTTCTCAAGTGGAGGTGGGGGAAAAGAAGGAAATGAGGTGACACATGTAACAATGAGCAAACGGGTTTCACTGTGTGACTGGAAGCCACTGATCCAATATCCAATTCTCTCTCCTGTTCACTTTCCCCAGTGTTGTTGACTTGGTGCCTGAAACTAGCAAGCTGTTTCCTGCATCAGGGCCTTTGCTCATGCTGGTCCCACCTCTTGGAATATTCTGCCCTCTCTTTACATTCTGGATCTTTCTCCTCCTTCAGGTTTCAGCTCCATTGTCCCACCTCAGAAAGGCATGCTGGGCCACTATCTAGCCTGTTCACTCATTCATTCAACAAATGTTTATTGGGCACTGACTATGTGCCAGGCACTGTTTTAGGTACTGGGGATACAGCAATAGGAGAATGGTAGACAAGAAGCCCTGCCATCATGGGGCTCACAAACATTGGTTGGTTAGAAAGCAATAAGTGCTAAGGAGAGAATAAGTGCAGAGAATATAGGATGGGAAGTGCTTAGACTGGCACTTTTCATGGAGAAGGTGACATCTAAATAAATACCTTAAAGGAAGTTTGGGAGGGAAACAGTCTGAGGGAAAAGCATTTCTGGCAGAGGGAACACTCAGCGCAGAGGCCTCAGGTATGAGGAAGAGGCAGAGGCCAGTGTGGGTGGCTGGGGGTACTGAGTGAGGGGGATGAACAGATGAGCTCAAAGGCTTATGTGGGGGATGGAAGCAGAAGACATAGGTGAGCTGGGCCTTCAACTTGAGGGAGAAGGGAGCCCTGGTGAAGCTCTGAACATACAGAGGGTGTGATTTGCATTAGGTGTGCACAGGATCCCTCTGGCTGCATGTTGGGCACAAAGTGTGGGGCATGGACCCAGGGAGAGCAGCTGCAAGGCAGGACCCACAGGTGATTCAATCACTGAAGAGCCGGCGCACAGAGCGGTTCCTTGACACTCCCACGCCTTCAGCTTTTCTGGTAGCAGGCTCCGTGCTGATCCCTGCACAGTCCTAGGAGATCCTTAGGACAGCTCTGTTGGCTGCAATCCCTGTGTTATGGTTAAGGAAAACGAGGCGCAGGGCGGCGGCTTCTGGGCAGCAGGATGAGCATTTGTCACTAGCCCCTGACCTTAGGCCTCTGGAGGAGGCAGAGCCTGCCTACCGACCCTTGTCTTTGCATTTGCACCTGCCCAGGTGAAGGGAGCCCACTGCGCATGCGCCCGGACCAATTCAAAGCGCCCGGCGCGGGTCCCGCCCTCCAGCTGAAAGCGCCTGCTCGGCTGGGCGCGCTGCCTCGGCCCGAGGATGCTGGTGAGGGGCAGGGACGGGGACGGGGCCCAGCTCCCACGTGGGCCTCTCTCCAGGGACTGACCCCAGACCCTCTTCTTTTCAGGGTCCTAATGCCTCCCTCGATTCAGAGCTTCCGAGCGCCCCAGTCCCCGACGGGGACACCAGTGTCTCCCCGGGACGCCCCGAGAGGCTGTGCGCGCCGCCGGGGCTGGAGGAGGCCTTGAGCTCGCTGGGGCTGGAGGGGGAACGCGAGTACGCTGGGGACATCTTCGCTGAAATCATGGTGAGCGGGCGACCCCGGCGCCGTCCCACTCCTGGCGCGCAGCCGGGTTCGGGTTGGATGGCGCTGGGCCTGGCGGGCTCTCCGCTCGCCGCTCCGCGGGGCGTCCAAACCTGCGCCCCACCCCAGATCTCAAGTTCTAGGCGGTTCTTTTTCTCCCCTCGCACAGTTACCGAAACCCCTTCCCGCGGTCCCTGGCTGTTGGCAGCCCTTCTTTCGAAAGCCCGTGGCTACCCTATTTGTGCCTCCTGAGTTCGCTTAACAAACACTTAACCCTTTATTATCGCGCTTTTGAGCGTGTCCTAGGCACCGGAGCTGCGGCGATGAGCCACCGTCTGTCCTCGTTCTGGGGAGACAGCTAGCAAATATACTTGATGATAACAGAAAGCCACAAAGGCCAGCACACAGGTCGTGGCAGGCGTCCGTCTCCACGAGATGCCACTGCCTGAAGAGGTGCTGGAGCGAGCTTAGCCAACACCCGCCAGTCTCTTCCCGGGTTCAGGTTCTCTGCCAGGAGCTGAGATGCACCTGTGATCGGAACGCAGGGCTCAGCCTTTGCTGGAGGCTGAATGCTGTGTTCCCAAATTCTTAGGTTGAACCCACATTTCCGGTAGGAAGGTATTAGGGGTTGAAGTCTTTGAGAGCTGACCAGACCAGAGAGACCGAGCCTCATGAATAGGCCAAAGAGCTGGGCATGGTGGCACATGCCTGTAATCCCAGAAACTCCAGAGGCTGAGGCAGGAGGATCACAAGTTTAAAGCCAGCCTGGGCAACCTAACAGACCCTGTCTCAAAAAGAGCTGGGGGTATGTAGCTCAGGGCGTTTGTGGTGCTGGCAGCCTAGCAGGGCCAGCAGACAACACACACAGGGAAACAATGGCTATCTTTAGTGAAAATACTAAGGAAAAAAAGAGTAATGAGATAATGAGGGGTGGGATGGAGGGAGGAGTATGGAGAAAGGGAAATTTTATCTGAGACTTGAAGACTGAGAAGGTAATGCAAAGAGTAAGGGAAAGACAATTACAGGCAGAGGCAAGGTAAGCACCAAGGCCCTGGTGTAGGAATAAGCTTGATGTAGTCTGAAACAAGAGAAGGCTGGTGTAGCCAAAATGTTGGTTGTGAGGGAAGAGGTGACATCGATTGGGGGCAGGGTCTGAGAGTCTGACAGGAATTAGGATTTTCTCCTAAGGGTCTGAGGTTCCTTGGTCAGATCTGTCTTTGGATGGACCCTTCTGGGTGCTCTGAGGCGGATGGATTTGAGGATTGGTGGCCAAGAATGAAATTTGAAAACCCAGACAGGGGAAGATGCCCAGGAAGCTGTGTGGCCATGGGGGCTCCACAGTGGACAGGTGGATAGGGAGGTATCTACAGTGAAGTCCAGGATTCCAGATGGGGTCGTGGAAGAGGTGCAGCTGAGGCGGGTTACGGTGTGGAACTCCTGCTACATCCAACTTTGCAGGAGGAGGCTATTGCACCCCGGGCTGGAGCTCAAGAGCGACAGAGGCCCAGGTGTGGAGAATGACGCCTGTCTTGCTCATCCCCAGGTGTGCCACGCGCTGCCCCGGAGCCCCCTGCCCCGCCCCGTGACTCCAGAGATGCGTGCGCTAGTGGTGGACTGGCTGGTCCAGGTGCACGTAAGTAAGTGGAGAGGGGGCGAGACTGGTTCCCTGTCACTACCTGAGACCCTGATGGTCACCTGTGCCCCTCCCCAGGAGTACTTGTGCCTGGCAGGGGACACACTTTACCTGGCGGTGCACCTGCTGGATTCCTACCTGCGCGCCGGCAGAGTGCGCCTACACCGCCTGCAGCTGCTGGGCATGGCCTGCCTGTTCCTGGCGTGCAAGATGGAAGAGTGCGTGCTTCCCGAGGTATTCGCGGGCTGGGGCTTGGGAGGGTGGAGCCTTTGCTGTAGTCACTGATTAAATGCCCACGGTGCGCCACACTCTTCGTGTACTCTTGGAATCCTAACGAATCTGTCTGTATGAGGCACGGGGCTGCTAATGTGTCCCTTTAACAGGAGGAGGAAACAGACCATAAGGGAACACTTGCCCGGAATTTAAACAGCCGAAACTTGGATTCCATCTTGAACACAGTAGTCATAGTCCCTCTCGAGTGTTAACATGCATAAACTCAAAGCTGTGTCATGAAGTAGGGAGCTTCATCTCGGTTTTAAGGGTGAAGAGGAAATGGAAAGCGTAAATGAATGTCCCATGTCACATAGTGGATAAATGGTGCATTGAACCCGGTCATTATGACTCTGATGCCCGTGACATCCACGACTTTCAGACACAAGTCAATGGCCCCATTTTACAGACCAGGAAACTGAGGTCTGAAACTTGGACTGAAGCGACCCCAGGTGCTCCAGGGCTGGGAGTCCAAGGCTACCTCACATCTTTCCCCGCAATCCTCAGCCTGCCTCCCTCTGCCTTCTGAGTGCCGGTTCCTTCTCGAGGGCAGAGCTGCTGCGCGCAGAGCGCCGCATCCTGAGCCGCTTGGATTTCCGACTGCACTATCCCGGGCCCTTGCTGTGCCTGGAGCTGCTCACCGCGCTGGCCGGGAGTGGCCCCCAGGTGCGCATGGGTAAGGGCGTGGCCTGTGCGAGGGAGCAGCGTGGCCAGCCAGAGCCTGAGGTTCACCCAGCCTCTCTGGCAGGTGATGCTGCTGGCCACCTATTTCCTGGAGCTGTCCTTACTGGAGGCTGAGGCTGCGGGATGGGAGCCTGGTCGTCGCGCAGCTGCGGCGCTGAACCTGGCGCATCGCATGCTCGACGGAGCGGGCTCCAGGCCCAAGCCAATGCTTTACAGGTGTGGCCTTGGCAGAGGGCGGTGGTAGGTCTCCGTTGCTTCAGATAGCCTCCCTTCTGGGTCGCCGTCTTTCCCTTGTCAGGATGGGACAATTTGGGACGGGGAGCAACTTAGACTCGATGTCTCTGGGTGGGGGAGAGGATGTCATGTCTTCCGCCCCGAAGGGTCTGCCTTTCTCTGGGGATGTGAGAGGATAGGGGTGTGTGCAGGCTGGGGGGCCCTTCGGCCTGCCTCTGGGGGAGATGGGATCTCTGGGTTCCCTGTGGCCGCATTCAGTGCCCCCCATCACGACCTCGAGGGGTCGCCCCCGGGGCCGTGTCAAACGTCTTTTCAGCTTCGAGCCTTCGGCCCAGGGAAAGGCTCTCCCCACCCCTTGCCTGCCTCAGTCTCCCCATCTCTCCACTGCAGCTCCGCGGAGCTGGACCCCCTGGAGCGGTGCATGGTCCGCGCCTCTCTGCGGGGCCCGGCACCTGGCCGCGCCGCGGTCTTCCTCAAGTACGCGCGGCCCCAGCGCCAGGGCACCAGCCTCGCCGCCGCCCTCCTGCTCCGGCGCCCCCAGCCTGGGCCTCCTTGAGCGCCACGACCCACCCAGAAAACAAACGCAAACTCTCACTGTGTGTTTGTCCCCACTTTAATAAAAGTGTCTTTTATTCTGAGCGCTCTCGGTCCTACTTGATCCAATTCTGTCCCCTTCTCGCTTTTGATTGGTCGCTTCCCTAGGCTTCTCTTCCCTCTGATTGGATATCCTTACCCAGTCCTTAGTTGAGGAGAGAGAAAATGCAAATTCTCAACTTCTCCGCCAGGGGGCAMTGGAGGACTTCCCCGGAGCCTCAGCTAGGAAAACTGGGGGCCTCGGGGCTGGGAACACAGGAACTGTGCAAAACCGAGATGCCCGCCCCGGTCCTGAAGAAGTCTACCTTCATGGTGCCAGCTTCTCAGATTTCACCCAAGTGAATCTCAAAATCTGCAATTCCATAAACATCTCTGTCTTATGTTCTCAACAAACTCTAACTTATTTATTTATTTTTCTCTATTTTGTACTGGGGATTGAACTTAAGAGCTCTTATCCACTGAGAGACATCCCCAGCCCTTTTTATTTTTTTGAGATAGATAGGGTCTCGCTAAGTTGCTAAGGACCTCACTAAATTGGTGGGGCTGACTTTGAACTTACGATCCTCCTGCCTCAGCCTCCTGAGCAGCTGCAATTATACATATGGTAGTCGCCATTCCTGGCATCATTTAGTCCTTTTTAATGGCTGTACAAGCCCAACACATCACATATACTGGCCTGTGAAGGTCATCAATTGGTTAGAGTCCTTGAGAGAAATCAATAAATGGAGTTTGATTTACTTAACCCCGAAAGTGCCACATGTCAGTATCTACAGCAGCAACCTCACAGTGGTGTGGTATGTGAGTTAATATGTATGCAAAGCTTTAGGGCAAGGGGGACAAAAGAAGAAAAAGTGTTTGCATTGTATCCTAGTATGACTGGGAGTGAGGTACAACCACCCCCATTTACCACTGTGCCCTAGCACCTAGCTAGTTAATAGGTCAGAAAACATTAGTTACAAATCAATGGATTTCCATGTTTTCCATTAAAAAAAAAAACTACACACCCACATATACTCCTGAGGTGCAGAAAGGTTAGTGTGATGTTTGGGATTCACACTTGGGGACTTTAGACTCCTAACCAAACCTGGGTTTGGAGGTGCAGAGAGGAAGATATCTCTATGCCTGGGGTGTTCAAGTTGGACCCCAGGAATGGGGGAGGGACTTATTCAGTAAAAGAAATTTACAAAAATTACAATAACAGAGTCAGCTGCAGCCATTGGGATGGGAGGTATTGATTTCAGGTTTTGGCTATTGGGTGGGGCCAGCCGTGGAATTTTGGAACTCTGCCAGGGAGAGGATGTGCGCCTAAAGTGGCAGTGGGGACAGTGGAGATACATAAAATCATTCACTACTAATTCGACAACTAGATATAAATGTTAATGTTAGAGAGAATATGAAGAAAAAGGAACACTTTTACACTGTTGGTGGGATTGTCAATTAGTACAACTTCTATGGAAATTGGTATGGAGGTTCCTCAAAAGACTAGACATAAAGCCATCATATGACCCATCCATACCACTCCTCAGTATTTATCAGCATAGTCTAATGACATTTGCATTTTATGTTTATAGCAGCACAACTCACAATAGTGGAACTATGGAACCATCCTAGGTGTCATCAATGAATGACTGGGAGAAGAAAATGTGATATATATGCCTATGTACGTCTATGTATGTTTATACATCTATACATGTATCACATATACATACACACATACATAATGGAGTTTTAGTCATAAAAGTGAAATTATCATTTGCAGGAAAATGAATGGAACTTGAGAACCTTATGTTAGTGAAATAAGCCAAACTCAGAAAGTCAAGGGCCACATTTTGTCTCCTATTTGGAAGCTAGAGGGGGAAAAAGGAAAGAAAAGGTGTGGGAAGGGAGATCAGTACAGGGGGAGGGAAAGGGGAAATGCTGGGGAAAGCTATGGCCAAATTATTGTTCCATCATGTACAAATATGTAAAACAAATCCTGCCATTATGTGAAACCATAATTCAGTAAAAAATTTAAAAAACAAGTACATACCAATGCTGAGGCCAAGTCAGGTATTTGTGGCTAAATACCTGAGGATAAAATGGTAAGAAAGCACCCATGACTGTACCAAGGCCCTGTGCTGAGTGCTTTGCCTGCATGATAGAATTCAGTCCTCACCTAAGGTAAACTTACTTGTCATTCTCGTGTCACAGAAGGAAGCCAAAGTGGAAGATCCGAGAACTTGGCAGAGGTCACACAGCAGCTGAGTGGGGGGCTAAGGAGGGCTGCAGGGCAATCATCCCCTTCACCCCGTTTTGCTTTTGTGAACCTGCCACGTCTCCTTCCCTGCATATTCCTTCATTAGTGTGCCGCGCTCTCGGGCACTTCTCAGGGACGTGTCTGCTTTCTCACAGAAGGTGAGCTCGCTGAGCACCAGAGGCCGATCTCTCTCGGTTGTAGAGTTATCCCCTCCTCCAGGAAGCCCTCACTCGCCACCTCTGCCAAGGGCAGGTGCCTCCTCTGAGCCCTCGCCGTCTGTTATGCCTCCACCATCTCAGTCCTGAACCCTCTCCCTGCGCTTTCTAGCTAGTCCATTGTGGGCTGTCACTGTTGGTCACAGGTCTGCCTCTCTTCTGGCCTGGGGGGCCTGGTGAGGGTAAGGTCTGAAGTCCTCGGGCTTTAGTGCATCCCAGAATCATCCAGAACAGAGCCAGGCACAGAGAAGATAAAGTGAATAGTTGTTTGTTGCATAAATAAGTGAATGAATTCCAAGGTGGATATTATTAACCCACGTGACTGGATTCCGAGTTCCAGGTAATTTAAGTGAGATACAACTAGCGAGAAAATAAAGGGAATTTGATGTAGACAGCTTGAATCCCTATTCCGTGTTTATATCCAATACACCAAATGTTTAGTGGGCTGAAAACCAGCTTTTTGCGAGGTTGATGTCTTCAGGTCCTCCCCTTGGGCCCATCTTTTCCTGCTGAAAATCTTCGGGAGCTTTGGACACGGGGGAGGAGAGCAGACAGGGCGGGCGGGTGAGAGGAGTGTTGAATAAGGGAGAGGAGAATGACTGGGGCTGGTTTGAAGATAGGAAGGGAAAGTCTTGAGGGGCTTCTCTAGACCCATAGGGGGCAGCCGGAATCGGCAGCCGGAGGTGCGGGGGCGGAGAAAGGGTGGGGACCGGCCCCGCGGGGGGCGATGCGGTAGCTGCAGCGGCGGCCGCAGGAGTTTCCCACAATGCAGCGCGGCGCGCTGTCCCCGGTGCTGATGCTCAGCGCTGCCCCGGAGCCTCCGCCTCGCCCGCCTCCCGCCCTCTCCCCGCCGGGCCCTGGCCCAGGCCCCCGCCATGGCTCGGCTCGACCGGGTCCTGCCCCAGAGCCGTCGGGGGCGCTGGCTGCGGCGCTCGACAGCAGCCTGCGGGCCGCCGTGGCATTCAAGGCGGAGGGCCAGCGCTGCTATCGAGAGAAGAAGTTCCGGGAAGCCATCGGCAAGTACCACCGGGCTCTGCTGCAGCTGAAGGCGGCGCAGGGGGCCCGCCCTGGAGGCCTGCCCGCCCCCGCCCCCGGGCCCGCCACCAGCCCCGGGCCCGCCCGCCTCAGCGAGGAGCAGCGGCGCCTGGTGGAGAACACGGAGGTGGAATGTTATGACTCTCTCACGGGTACGGGGCCATCGGGGGACACGCAGAGGGGCATGTGTGAGAGAAGCGGGAAGTGAGGGACCATCAGGAGGTCTTGGGGACCGCGGGCGGGGGCTGGAGGCTGAAGGGGCCACAGCCATGCATGGTCTGTTGAGAGAGACCTCAGAAACTTGATCAAGGCAAGGAGTTGAGGGCAGATGATCAAAGCTCTGGTCTCTGAATGGAGGGAGCTGAGATGCAGGAAATGGGCTTTGATCTGGGTCTTCAGAATCCCACTTCCCCTGTCATTCCTTCTGCCCCCGGCCAATAGTGACCCTAAGATGAGAAGGGCTAGCCATTCTATGCCTAGTCCCTCGCCTCTGCGGCSACCCTTAACACTCTTGCTAATCACCGGAGCGTATCTGTCTTTCGCGCCCTCTAGCGGCGGCGCAGATTGAGCCTATTCTGATGGGACAGCAGATTGGCGCCTCCTGGTGGCCTTAGCCCCCTTGGGCGATGGGGTAGGACCCAGGTTCCCTGTAGGTGGGAGACCAGACTCCTCRAAGTCACGTGGGTTCTAGATTTGCCACTAGACTTAAGTACACGCCCGGCGCCCCTGCAGCTTGCCTTCTGCAGTCGGAGCTGGTGAACTATGAGCGCGTGCGTGAGTACTGCCTCAAGGTGCTGGAGAAGCAGCAGGGCAACTTCAAGGCCACCTACCGCGCCGGCATTGCCTTCTACCACCTGGGCGACTAYGCACGTGCGCTGAGATACCTTCAGGAGGCCCGCAGCCGGGAGCCCACAGGTGAGGGGCAGGGCGGGAAAGAGGGGATGGCTGGGCCCCGGCTGGGAAAGGGCTTAGAGGGAACCGGGTCGGGATAATCAGGGCAAAACAGAGTCCCCCGTTCCAGAGCTGCCCGGAAAGAGTGCTGCACCCCCCACTGGACATTGTCTCCCCATCCACCTACTCCTTTCGCCCACCCACTCACTCCGTCCATTCATTCACCCACCCTCCACCAAACATCTGCTCCCCCACCATTCCTTTGCCATCTACTTGGTCACTCCTCATCTAGTCTGTCACTGAGCTATCCTGATACCTCCCGTTCACCTACTCAGCCACTTCCCTATCCACACAGTTATCCTGTCTCCATACTTTCCCACCCCAAATACACTCATCCTTCACTTGTTCATTAACCATTCGCTCATTCACCTACTCATCCACCCAGGGCAGGTGGTGCCAGGAAACTAGTGTGTGGAGGGACAGGGCTGAGGGGTGGCAGAACTCCAGGCTTGTTCCCTGGCGTTCTGGAGGTAATGGCCAGGTGTATGCATGTCCCCACGAGCATACAGACACTTGATTTTGTATCAAGAGTCAGGAGAGAAGAGGGCTGACCGGGGGTGCATGGTGCAGAGCTGGAGCAGAAGCAAGATTAACTTCCCTGTTAAGTGGTTTGGAGAGCAGACTCCTCGCAGATGTCACTGGGGATGGGTGGAAGTGTGGCAGGAGCCTCTGAAGAGGCATTCCTGGCAGAGGGTGCAGCAGCCGCGTGAGCAGGGAGGTGTGAAATGTTTCTGGCTGCTGGTTGCAGCTGGGCTTCTGGGTAAYGGCTCTGGCAATATGGGATGTTGGGGAGCCCCTGGAAATGGGGGACAATGGGTACAAGCTGAGGTGGCATGGATCTCACCTGCTGACCCAGGGGACACCCAGATAATGCCCTGCAACCTCCCCTGCAGACACCAATGTCCTTCGTTACATCCAGCTGACCCAGCTGAAGATGAACCGCTGCAGCCTCCAGCGGGAGGACAGTGGCGCTGGGGCCCCTGCCCGGGATGTGGTTGGCTGAGGGCGAGGGGCTGCCTACCCCCCACCTCACCATGGAACTTCCCAGACTCTTGCATTTGCTGGTAAAGCACTTGTCACTGATGACCTCTTTGTGTGTTGTTCTTGTGGGGTCAGAGAGGGGACATGGGCCTGGGTCTCATCCCTTGACCACAGAAACCCAGAGAAGCCCAGGGAGGAAGTGTGGGTGTGGGAGTGTCCCACTGGGGATGAGCCAGCACAGGGGGCCTGGGCTGGGGAAAAGACATTCAGCCAAGCAAGGTAGGGGGCAGGGGTTACCTTTAATGCTGCATTTGTGCCAAATCCCCCATGATGCCCTGTCCCTGAGTATCCCTGCCCACCCTCCTCCCCACTGCAGGGTGGGCACAGGGCTCCACCCCCTGGGGTACAAAGAATAAATTAAGTGTCCCCCCTCCCTCCTTCCCCAATAAATAGAGTGAGTATCCTGCCCAGGGCCTCCCCCGCCTTGGGGCACGGCAGGCTGGGGCAGGGCCTGGGACGCTACATTCATGGCTGCCCAGGCGGGCGGTGGTGGGCAGGCCTCATTGGGAGCCGTGGGCCTCACACAGGGGCACAGTGCTGTCCTGGCTCTGCCCCTCCATGTCCATGTCCAGCAGTGTAGGCTGCATGCTGGGGGGCCCAGGGCTCTCTGGAGTGTCTGGCCTGCTTGGAGGCGAGATGGTGAGTGTCCGACCAAAGGAGACCAGTTTCCAGGGGTCCAGGCGGGGACGGCTGGCAGCMGGCCGGGGTCTTGGGGCAAAGGTCAGGGTGGTGGGACGGCCAGGGAACTCGGGGGGCCGGCGGCGGGTGGGGAACAGGGCCTGGGGGTCAGGCAGGCGGGGGAAATCCAGGGGGTCTCGAGGGCCTGGGGAGAGAGGATCAGATGAGGTGAGTGGGGTGGGTGAAGGGGGACTTCCAAAGTCAGCAACAGTTACAGCAAGAGTGGAATTTTGGGCTTCCCTTGAAAAACGCTCAGATGCTGGGCCCACTGTCCAGCAGGGYCACTGCCGTCTGAAGCCCGGAAGCACTGGGCTCTTGCCCTAGGCCGCCACCACTCCCATGGCTCACTCAACTCTGGGCATGATGCCACTCTGGGCATGTGCTTTAGCCCTTTGAAACAGGTTTCTTAGTGGCCCTCTAGCCAAAGCCCTGTCCCTCTTACACTGGGCRGGGTGCAGGTAGACAGACATAAGGGAGAGACAGTAGCCATGACATTGTCGCTGAATCGGGATCAAAACAGCACCTCACCACCTAGGGAAGGGCTGAATAAAGCAACGGTAACTAACCAAACCAAACCAGCAGCCCCAGCCTGATAGGCACTCAACTCCCGTCCACTGCCGTCACCTTTGCTGCCGCTGGCGATGGAGTAGCTACTTAAGTGTTAGCTCCGTGAGCGCTTGAGCGCTGCTGCAGTTAGAACCACCTGGCTGCAGTCTGCCACCCCTAATTCATCTTAAGTGTCAGTCACCCTGGTGGGACTCACAATGCTGCCAGCGGTGCAGTGCGGTGCGGTGCATGGGGACACAGAGGCTTCCCCCTGARCTAGGTAGGAGGCTGCAGCCTTAGAGAGCGGCTGGGCACGGACTCTGGACATGGCGGGGACAGAAGAGTGGTTTTCAGYGCCATGGCTGCGCGGTGCCTCACTCACCCGGGCCGTGGCCGGTGGGCTCCAGCGGCCCCCGTTGCCCCAGCGCCCCGTCKGACGGCGTCCGCCGGTGTCCACGGCTCACGGCGCGCGCGGCMGTTACATGGGTGGGTGTGAGCGACTGGCGGGGGTCCTTCTTGAAACTCTCCAGCTCCAGGTCCACCAAAGGGTTGCTGCTGGGCGAGGGCGCAGGCGGGGAGGGCGGTGGGGAGGGCACGACCGGTGCAGCCTCGTCGCTATCGGAGCGCAGCAGAGAACGCGTGGAGTTGCAGTCGGACACGGACGACAGGGACAYAAGGGTGGCCGAGGGCGCCAGGCCAGGGGCTGAGTCATCGCGACGTCCCGGGGGTCGCCCGGTCGGGCTCAGGCCCCGCGGGAAGCGGCCGGCGCGGGGGAAGAAGAGGCCATCTAGCCAGCGCCGCTGCTCCTCGCCATCGGCCGCGCGCGCCTCGGCCACATCGGCACCCAGGCCCACCGCGCCCAGCAGCGTGGCGCAGCCCAACAGCGCAAGGTCGCAGCGCCGCCGCGTGCCATGCCCGGGCCGGGCCAGCGGCGCGGCTGGAGGCGATTCCCACGAAGCCTGCGCCCCTGGGGAGGGCTCAGCGGGCAGTGGCACCGTGAGGTAGGACGGGGTGGTGTAGGGGGAAGGGGGCACGCTGCTGCCTCCATCCGCCTCGGCGAACTCCTCTGCGACCAGAGAGGGACGTCAATCAGCTGGGGTGGGGGTGAGGGTGGCCCTGGCTCTGCTGCCCTCAGGGACCTCAGGGGCCTACAATGACCCCTCCAACAGCAAGCCYCCAGATGCCCAGGCAACGTCTTTGACTCTTTCTCCCCCAAAAGGCTCAGGGTAGTGTGGTCCTTGCSGGGGGAGTGACCTCCAACCCCAGGGACCAGCCATCCCCTTTTCCAAGAATGCCCCTACCCGGGCTCCAGAGCCCTGCCCTCCCCCTTTGCCCTGGTCCTCCTCCTCTTTGGCAGGGACTCCCCCCCCCTTCTTCAAGCACCCACACCCTTACCCATCTCGTTGAGGCTGGCAAAACCAGGGGCGATGGGTGTGTGTTTGGGGGATTTTCCCAGGTTGGGGGCACTTGATGACCACTGTTTGCTCCCTTCCCCCAGAGTCTTCAGCCTGCAGCGGGCATGGGGAGATGGGGGCGGTCAGCCATGGCTGCCTGGCCCAGGATGGGCACAGGGGCCCTGAGCCCGGCAAGGCCCTACCTCTCCTCCCCTCCAGCTCTCTCCTTGTGCAGGGTGGAGCTGGGTCCCCATGTCCGGCCTTTCTTCTTGCCTCCAACTAGTTCTTCCTTCTTTGGGGGCCCACTGCGGCCCCATGTCCCACTGCCACCACTGCTGCTGCCACCACCACAGTCCACAGGAGTCACTGGGTCAAGAAAAGCCACTTGGTTACTGGGTCTTAGAAACTCAGTCCCAACCTCTAACCTCCAAACCATTCCCCCCTGGAGCCTGAGGCTCTTTCCCACCCCAGCGCCACTCCCTGCTGTAATCTGTGCAGGCCTCCCCCCCGCTGTGGGGACCCAGCTGCTCTCCACCATCTTTAAGGGGTTAGATCGCTGGACCCTGGGCTGTTCTCTTCCCTGTCCATCCCACTCTGAATGTACCAACACTAGTATTTGCGACTACTATGGTTGTCTCTGTGTCCCCTGCTAGCGTGACCTTCAGGGATTATTATGAATCTGGTGTCCAAAGAGAGGCATGCAGAGAGACTGCAGGCTGGGGCAAGGCTGGGGAGCACCATAGGTGGGACAGACTCAGGAGTCAGCTTTGCATTCATCAACTACTCTGACATGTGACCTGGACTGTGAACATCGGTTCCTTCTGAGTCCCCTACCCAGGTCCCTGTCATCTCAATGGCCTCTCTGCCTTTATTCCTCACAGTAGCTAGTGGAAAGAGGTCAATCTGATCACATCAAGCCTTGCTCACAGTCCCCTGTGGCCTTCCTGATGTTGGGGTTGGCAGCAGAGCTTAGAGGTGGAGCGTGTGCTTAGCATGTGTGACTCTAGGTTTGATCCTTAGCACTGGGGAAAAAGTCAAATTCTTTACCTTGGATCTCAAGGCCTTGTATGATCTGGTCCCTGGGAGCCCCTTGACCACTGAACTAATGCTGTCCCTCCCATTCCCTCTATCCGGGCCAAATTGGCCTTCTCCCCCCACCCTCCAGTACTACAGCCTGAACTGAACTACACCCCCAACCCTTTTATTTTTTGAGACAGGGTTTGGCTAAATTGCCAAGGGCCTCCCTAAGTCGCTGAGGCTGGCCTTGAACTTTCGACTCTCCTGCCTCAGCCTCCTGAGTGGCTGGGATTTCAGGTGTGCACCACCCTGACAGGCTTCAGCCATGTTGGCCTCTGGTCTGGTAACACTCCAGGCTTGTTCCGGCTTTTCGTGTTTGCAGTTCCCCCTGTTTCCTCAGATTAGTGCATGTCTCATTTCTTCCATGAAGGGCCTATTCAGACCTCACCTCCTCAGACAGACTTTCCTTCTCTGATGGCTAATTTTACRTGTCAACTTGAYGAGGCCAGGCTAAGAGCTGCCAGGAGAGCTGCAGATGTGATTTCTGGGTGTGCCTTGATAGGGTTTCTGGGAAAGTCGCTAGCATTTGAGTGGGTAAACAGRGTAAAAATGCCTTCACCAAAGTAGGTGGGCCTCACCCAATCCCTTGGGGGGCTGGGCTGAACAGAAAGGCAGAAGAAGGCGCTCTCTCTGCTTGAGCYGGGACATCCATCTCCTGCCCTTGGATGTGGTGCTTTTGATTGGCAGGCCTTTAGACGTGGACTGGAAGCCCAGCACTAGCTTTCCTGGAAACCATCTTGCAAACAGAAGATTAGGGAACTTCCTAGCCTCCATAATCCTGGGAGACAATCCCTAATTTTCTATCTATATATCTAAAGACATCCTATTGATTCCATATCTCTATAGCACCCTAATACATCTCCTCTTTTGTCTTTTTGGTACTGGGGATGGAAATCGTGCATCCTAAGCATGGGCTTTAACACTGAGCTACACTCCCAGCCCCAGAGTCTTCTCTTATATTTTCTTTCCTGGAAATTATTCAGCTTATTGATTGGTTGTCTGTTTCCCCCTGATGAGAATGAGGGAAGGGATCTTGCCTGTTATTCCTTTGGCCTGGTGCCAGGTCTATGCTCAGAGGTGTTGTTGACTGACTGGCTGACTGACGGGGCCTTGCAGATACTCACGGCGAATGGCCCTCAGTCTTGGGATGATGCTGGGGCTGGCAGGGGGACTGGCCCCATCGGATCCTTTCCGCTTGTCCAGGGTGGGAGAGGCCTGGACTGTGATCTTATGCTCGAAGCCTGCAAAATGAAGAGACTTTCYTAAGCAAATGGTTCTCTGGTAACAGAAGGGAAGTTTCCTTGCAGAAGTACAGTAGGAATGACAGCATGGGAACACCACTGTCTGTCA